CTTGTACAATAAACGCATATAACTTTGTTATTTATAATTATATTTTAACAATTCTTTTACCAAATTAAACAGCAAATTACTGGCTTTAAAAAAATATATAATAGGCCCTACATTAAAAGTCTAGGACAGTTATAAAAGTTTTTCATACCTTAAAAGTTGAGTTTGGTGTGGTAATCTTCGAAACATTCTCCCAAACATAGTCCAGCTTCACATTTTGGGCACCAGTACCTAGTGTCCCTTCTAATTCCTCTCTTGGAACACACACAACATCTTCTTTGAGCATCACTTTGTTTGCAGTAGGTGGAATGAGGTAAAGAAAATGTCTTTCGGTTAGCCGAGCTGGTTTGGGTTGGATTGATGGTCTACCACTTACATTTCTCTGCACTTGGGATCCATAAGTTTCAAATAACATTTTTACCAGTTCTAATCTGAAGGCAAAATGTTCACTTTTTTGGTTGGTACATTTCCAAATAAGATAGGAATTCAAAACAGTAACATTTAGCAGTCTTTTGATAATTTTTTTATACCATTTCTGCCCCCTCTTTCTTTCAAGCTGATAACTGTGTAGCATTTGATCCCTCAAGTCAACCCCTCCCATTTGTTTATTATAGTCAAGTACCAAAACTGGCTTAATTTCTTGCTTACCACTCTTGCAAGTTTTCACTCCCATTTCATGGGAATGGAAGGTTGAAATAAGAGAGACAACACGTTTATCGCGCCATTTCATGACCATGACATCTTCGCTATGCAATACAACTATTTCACCCTTATCCAACTTTTGACTTTTTACTTCATCAGGTACACACTTCCTGGTCAGTTTCATGGTGCCACACGTGCAGGGCCGTCCCTAGGGTTAGCGGCGCCCGGGGCAAATGTGGTCGTGGTGCCCCCCCCCCCCCAGTAATAGTCGCATTCGCATATTTTAATACTATGTTAATAGGACAGGATTGAATTTTTAGTTCGGGACGGGATTTTTTCCTGTGAATGAACGGCAGTCTTGAGTATTGCAGTTACCAAAAAAGACAAACAAAATTAATTTTTACCATTTGTGGCACTGATCAATCAAAACCAAAAAAGGGTAAACATTTACAGGTATAGAAACTTGTGACTCGCGGTCGAAATGTCGCGCGGTCACAGCTGATCGTTGGTATGACTCGCGGTCACGGCGTTATCGTCGGTATGACTCGCGGTCACGGCGGAATCGTCGGTATGACTCGCGGTCACGGCGGAATCGTCGGTATGACTCGCGGTCACGGCGGAATCGTCGGTATGACCCGCGGTCACGGCGGAATCGTCGGTATGACTCGCGGTCACGGCGGAATCGTCGGTATGACTCGCGGTCACGGCGGAATCGTCGGTATGACTCGCGGTCACGGCGGAATCGTCGGCATGACTCGCGGTCACGGCGGAATCGTCGGAATGACTAGCGGTCACGGCGTTATCGTGGAAATGTCTCGCGGTCACAGCGTGATCGTCGGTATGACTCGCGGTCACGGCGGAATCGTCGGTATGACTCGCGGTCACGGCGTTATCGTCGGTATGACTCGCGGTCACGGCGCGATTGTCTGTATGACTCCGCGGTCACGATGCGATCGTCGGTATGACTCGCGGTCACGGCGGAATCGTCGGTATGACTCGCGGTCACGGCGGAATCGTCGGTATGACTCGCGGTCACGGCGGAATCGTTGGAATGACTAACGGTCACGGCGTTATCGTCGGTATGACTCGCGGTCACGGCGTTATCGTCGGTATGACTCGCGGTCACGGCGGAATCGTCGGTATGACTCGCGGTCACGGCGGAATCGTCGATATGACTTGCGGTCACGGCGCGATTGTCTGTATAACTCCGCGGTCACGATGTGATCGTCGGTATGACTTCGCCTCCTGCGTTCGTAGAATTAACATATCGCTCGCGATAGCGGCGTCATCGACACTCGCGAAGCGGCAAAATCGCCGATGATCGGATCAAATCCCGTCCCAAAAAATTCCCGAATCAAATGAAATCACGTCCTGATAATCGGGATTTTTCCCGAAAATTTCCCGAAATTTCGGGTTAATACCAATAGCCGCTGCGCGGCGCCCCCTCAGCCGCGGCGCCTGGTTGCCCCCCCCCCCTTCGGACGGCCCTGCACACGTGTCAGTTTTCCTTTCTTTCAATAACTTTGAAAGTTCCGGTGAATTGTACCAATTGTCTATCCAGAGCGTAAAACCCTTATCGAGAAGAGGCGCCATGAGAGATAAAACAATTGCAGTGGATTTGTTTGACTTTGGTGGGACAATAGGATTGTCAAAAACCATGCTTTTACCTGTGTATATAAGAAATGACCAGGTATACCCCGAAGAAGACTCACAAATCTCAAAAGACTTAATCCCAAACTGAGCTGCCTTCAGCGGCAAATACTGTTTGAACCCCAAGCGACCTTTCCACAAAGTTAACGATTCATCAATTGAAATATTCTGGGAAAGGCCATATGCTGCCTGAAACTTATTATTTAAATGATCAATGATAGAAAAAATTTTAAACAAACCTTTCTGTCCATTGTACTCACTGAGTTTTGTCTCATCGAAAAAATGCAAGTACTTGGAAATGAGCTGAAACCGCTCCAACGGCATTGTACTTGGATACACATCAGTACGTAACAAACCATTTTTTGAATAGTAGGCTCTAAGACTAGGCCTTTGGTCAATACCCATAAGCATCACTAGGCCAAAATAAACATACAGTTCATTTTTTGTAACAGGGACCCACTTCCATGTACGAGAAAACTGATGGAATATCATTCCCTGCTTCCTATGCTGCTGCTCCGCATAGGTATTTGTACTATGGACAATAAGGTCCATGATTGTGTCATCAAAGAAATATTTAAAAATATCTAACTCATTTTCATAATTTATTTTGGGACCTACCTCACCCATACCAATAAAATTTTCCTTTTGAGGTACATAATTCTCAACGGATTCCCAAATCATTTGTGGTACATTTTCAGTAGGCCTACGTCTAGCAGAGAGAGGATTGTCACCTCCCGCACCAGCTACTACATCCTCAATTGTCATTTCAACATTGTCCAATTCCATTGGTTGGGGGGGGGGGTGCATAGGCCTAGGTGAAAGAGGCGTTGGTGAAGGCGTAGGGCTAGGCCTAGGCTCACCACCACCAAACTCACTAACAGGAACATTAGGTGTAACTATCGCTAAATCATCGTGTGTAACTATCGCTAAATCATCGTCACTTTCTGGATTTTCATCTTTGGGATTATCACCTTGTAACTGTGCAAAATCTATATCATCTTCATCACTCTGTACATCGTCAACAAATTCCGACAGCAGCCAACGATCTATTTCACTACTACGAGCCATACCATAACAGAGAACTTACACTACAATTCAATCACTATCCACTGAAATAAAAACTTTTCTGCTCCACAAAACTACTAGAAACTATAATAAAACATTAAAAATAATATCTTAATCGGAATTCACTCAATAATAACAGAAAAGATCTAAATACGTAAACAAACAAACAACGACGTAACCAATACGACGCGAGTGAAATTCTTCTGCTCAAACGCCAGTAAACATTCGTCACCAAAGGCAACCAAAAGTTTCTAAAACCGGGTATTTCTGTAGTTTCATGTAGCCCTACTATCCCTCAACGTACTGCAATATCGATTGCGTCCAGATGTTTGCGGATTTCCCCGATAGGTAGCAGCATCGGACGGAACGTCTGAGAACGTACGCAATACGTCAAAACGCAGCAGCGGGCGGAGCAGTCAGACGTATCACGTACGTCAAAACGACTTGAAGGGCTAGTCTACTGTACAGACGATAGGTAACTTTATCAGAAAAGTATTCTTTAACATTTAATAAGCTATGTCTACCCATTGAAATGACCTTTTTGAAAATAAAATACTCCTCCCATATTTTCGACCTTTGAGCGTTATTACAGGCCTTTAGCACATTTAGCGATTTATCAAAACTTATATTGTGGGAAGGATGTTCTTTCAGGTGTTGGGCAACTTTGGATGTGGGATGTTTTTTGGTTTAGGGCGTTATGCTCCTTAAAACGTTGTTTGAAAGACCTATTAGTTTGTCCAATAATATATTCTTTATCACAATCATCTCCATCATTGCATTTAATAAGATAAACCCCCTTGTCTATGCTATGTTTTTCTTTTTGTTTCATACCAATATTCCTGTTTATTTTATATCCCGGCATGTAAGAAAACTTCTTAAAAATATTACCTACGTGAAGCGAGTTTTTGTTTACATATTTGAAAGGGATGAAGGGATGTGGCCTTGATAATTATTTAAACTTGGCTTTCCTTATCATGTTATCAATTAAATCTGTATTATAGCCGTTGTTGTAGGCAATTTGTTTCATAATTAATTTTTCTTTTTGAAACTCTGCGGGCGGCAAATTATAAGTTAAAAGCCTGTATGCCATAGATCTGAGGGCAGCCATTTTGTACGACATGGGATGATTCGAGTCCATTGGAATAACTAAATCTGTTTGGATTTCCTTCCTGTAAGTGTAAATACCAAACTCTAACGTGCCATCTGAATTTAATCTATCTTTTATTTTATGATTTTATTTATCTGACTTTTGTGGGCAATGTTGAGACCTGTGACAGCGACTGAAGATGCATTGTAATTAATGCGAAACGCGTCTCGCAGGAGATAAGTAATTTTGGACACCTTAGGCTACCAAAAAGGTAAAAATATTGATAATAAAAAAGTTAATCAATATCAAAGCAATATTTTAAAGTTTTTTAATGAATAAAAAGTTTTATTATTGTAACGGCTCAGTATTTATATAACTTTTAAGGTTGTTTTTTAATTAAATTAAATGTAAAACAATAGATAAAGTAAGTGTGATAGAAAAAACTTGTTGATGTATACAAGAATCAGATTTTTAAAACCAAAAGGTGATTGAGCCCGAATACATTATTTTGCAATAAGACTATTAATAACAGGTTACCAGTGATAAGTAATAGACACAATGAAAGTCAGTGATGCGCTGTTTGTTATATTATTTTTTTAAGAAAAAAAGTAATTATTTAAAAAGTCATAAAAACAAAGTGGTAACATTTTTTGCAGGCTTCATGAACATAAGTTGTTACTCAAGATAGCTTCTAGATGCCTCAGGAGTAAGATCCTTCCCCCCCAGTAGTCAGCTTTGCCCCAGTGGTCAACCTAAAAATAAAAAAGTAGCTATACCAAAAATATTAACATTATTATGTTTAACGTGAAATAACCACATTGACTAAATAATAAACTATTCAAGACTCAAGATTAAATGGAAAACTTCTGTTTTGTTTTGATTTCAAACCATATGTTAAAGATTTATTCTAAACTTTTTTGTTTATTTACTAACATTTTTAATTATAATATATTGTAGTGTATAATCAATATTTTCTATGTAGTGGAATAACCTCAACGGCCACTCTTGGAAAACAACCTGGGAATAAAGATGAAATAGGTTCTTACAGGCAATATATTTGTTCATTAAGGTGCAGTAACAATTTCCAATGGGCAGAAAAACAATATTGTTTGTAGGAGATTTTAACCTTCCAAGTGTCTCTAGTTTTGGTCTTAACCCTTAGAGTGCCAGGCGAGAAATAAAAGTAACGCTCAAAAAATGCCGATGATTTTTCCCGAAGGTCGCGCTAAAAAAGCCGAGCGCGATCTGGCGATTTTTAGGTTAAAATTTCGTAAAAATCGAATTTTCAATATTTTGACCAACGAAAATCGATGTATCGCATCTAGTAACTTTCGACTCAATGTTAATATATGGGTTAAAAGAATCCGAGTATCCGTTCGGTTGTTATGACAACTGTTCGATCATTACGAAACGTCCGGTCAGCCGGACGTTGGCACTTTTGGCTTGTTCTAAAAACGTCCGGTCGGCCGGACGTCGGCACTTTTGGCTCGTTTTAAAAACGTCCGGTTCCCCGGACGTTGGCACTCAAAGGGTTAATGTTCGCCCATTTATTGCGCAATCACAGGGTTTTATTAAAATGTATCTCAGAAACTTAAAACAATGTAAAGTATACTGTTTTGTATATCATTTTGTTTGGAAAATTATGGGCTTCAATGTAACATATAAAACATTACAAAAAAAATGTTTAACAATTTTTGTGGGGTTAACATTTCTCAAAAATTATAAAATAAATTAAAGAAATTTATTATGCGCTCAATAAATTGTTATAATTTATAGGTCTACAAATATTTTAAAATAGCCACTTTGTTCAGAATTTTATGAGGATTCCAAAAATATAATAATATAAGGAAGTAGATTTGCAAATAAATAAGTTATGGGCAAAAAACAGATTTCGGTACATAGCGTTTAGCTAAGAATGCATAGCCTAACCATAGCTAGGAATCTGGCTGATAATTTACATCAATATCACTACCTACTTCTTCAGGATCATCAACCAGCCCTTCAAAATCACTTAAATCTTCTTATAATGCACCACGTATATCACTACTTTTGATTTTTAACACTAAAACAATGATAAACGTAATAAAACACATCAGTCATCGGTGCGAGGTTAACCAAGCTGTTTACAAATACGCATGTCAGCTGTCTGCTACAAATATGATCGGCTCGAGAAAAAAAAGCGCTTAGAGACAGACCTCGGGAGAAAGCTTAGAATCTGCCAAAAAAACCGATATCTAACTCGATCCAGTTCAATCCGATTTGGTCAGTCATAGAGCCTTCGCCGTAAACAGTGTTTGTGAGTCGCAAAAGCGACACAAAACACTACACAAAGTTTGTTATGAGTCGCTTTTACGACACATAACACTCGGAGGGTTAACCAGGTTGCTCCAAGCAAAAAAGGTTCAAATAATATACCCTAGCATGCAAGGGGATGTAAGGGAGCATCCATATAACAGTAAAACCTTGAGGTATTTTCCATTTCTTAAAACTAACCAAAAATTTGCATGTAGAAGATGCTGATGAGATGTAATTTCGATCTTTGGTTTCGATAACTGGGTAATAGAATCGTAACCAGTCGCAAAATAGTTAGGAATCAGCCGTTGATTAGGCCCTTTTTTGATAGAATATGTACTCAATCATACCTTTAGGAGGATTACCACCACATAATCTACTCTTTTAGTTTTTTTTTTTTTTTTTTTTTTTTTTTTTTTATATGTTGATCAGAAACAAATCTAGCGTTAAGTTTGGTCAATGAGATGCCTTTAATTACCTTTCACTAATTTTGTTAAACCTTTACAAAAGGAGCACCAACTTAGACATAATAACTGGGTCGGGGTGTTAATTTAGCAGTTTTCACCAAAGCTAAAGCTTATCTCAACACACCTTTATTTGCCTTTTCATATTTTACAAAGACAATTTCTAATATGTTAATCAGGGAAGCCTTTTTAGCATCATCAACCAAAATACCAATGCTACCTTAGGAAACCAATATTTATTCACAAACATGTTTGCTGCATTTAGCGGAGTTAAACCTTTGTAATAATTCAAATAATTTATTGAAAATAACATCAACATAGACATAGACATAGACATAGACATAGACTTTATTTGCACAAAACATTCCATACATGTCATAACATTTAGAATAGGTGCATTGTCAAAATTAAATCCATACATAAAATATTTAAAATTAAAACTTTTAACTTAAAACTAAACACTTAAAAAAAAAAATTCTAAATTGTAGTTCTGTAAAAATCTTCAATTAAGTAAAAAGCCTTGTCAATAAGAAAATTATCTATTGTATCTTTAAATTTGGTTTTGCTTAGTGACTTATAGCATGGCGGAAGCACATTGTACAATCTCAGCCCAGCGTACAATGGAGATTTTTCATATAGGGTCAAACGGTGTCTGGGGAGTCTAAATATATTTTCATTTCGGGTATCATACCTGTGATTAAAATGTATTGTTTCTGGTAGCTCATTTTTAACTGAATGTATGTAATTTAATAATTCTAGTATATACAACCCCGTTAATGTATGAATTCTTAAATTTTGAAAATGTTTCTTACAAGAACTGCGTGGATGAGAGTTGGTAATAATACGAATAATACGTTTTTGTAACCTGAATAAAGTTTTAATACCAGTAGCTTGACCCCATAAAATTATGCCATATCTTAACACTGACTCCACATAAGCATGATAAACTACTTTAAGTGTCTCAATAGAAACACAGTCCCTTAAATGTATGAATAAAGATGATATCGACCTAATTTTGTTACGTAAATAATTCAAATGTGAATCCCATTTAACTGCGTCATCTACGTAAACCCCTAAGAATTTATGAGCTTCAACTAAATTAAAGGAACAGTTTTCCATATTTTTGTGTCTAGTAGAAAATTTAATAATATTTGTTTTTTCAACATTAAGTTTTAACCCATTTTCTAAAAACCATTGCTCCATGTCCTTAACCACACTTTGCAGAGAAGAAAACATTTCAGTTGTATTATTATTTTTGATCAAAGCAGTAGTGTCATCGGCAAAAAGAATTAGTTCTTTATTAATAGCTTTTGGAAGATCATTAATGTAAATAAGAAAAAAAAGTGGGCCCAATACTGAGCCTTGGGGAACACCTGTGGATATAATTTCCCATGGTGAATAATGTTTGTTGTTATCTTCTAAAATTAAAGTTCTTTGTTTTCTTTCAGAAAGGTAAGATTGTATTAAAGAAAAGCAACTTCCCCCAATCCCATAATCAATAAGTTTTAGCAACAGGAGTGAGTGATCCACACAATCAAAAGCCTTAGACAGGTCACAGAAAACACCTGCTGTGGCCTGAGACCTGTCCAAGGCTTCTGCAATCTCATTAACAAACTGAGTAAGAGCAGAAACTGTGCTTAAGTTTTTTCGGAAACCAAATTGTTTATTGTAAAATAAATTATTACTTTCAAAATAATTAACTAGTCTATAACTTATTACTTTTTCAAATATTTTAGAAAAATTACTTAATACTGATACTGGACGGTAGTTATTAATATCTGATTTTGAACCTTTCTTAAAAACGGGAGAAATTAGGGAGTACTTGAGTTGATCCGGAAAAATACCATTCTTTAAACACTGATTTATAATAAGAGATAAGGCTTCGGAGATAATGTCAGCAGCAGATTTGATCAATTTAATTGGGATTTCGTCCCAGCCTACCGAAATTTTGTTCTTTAGAGAAAGGATAATCTTTTTTATTTCATCTTTATTAGTGGGGCTAAGATTGCACAATGTAACCCCACCATCACTGCAGTATGATTTTACAGACGAATGAACACCATTGACAGAGGCCTTTTTTACATTCAGATTAATAACTGTATTACAGAAAAAACTGTTAAAAAGCTTAGCTACATCATCAGGATTATCAACAGTGGTTTGGTTTGTATCATCTTTTAAAATAATTTTGTATCTTTGAGTACGGTTTAAACCCAGTTCATTGTTAACAATTTGCCAAGCTGCCTTAGACTTGTTTTCAGATTTTCTAATTAGGTTATTATTTGAGAGAATTTTTGAATTTTTTACAACTTTATTAAATATTTTTTTGTATTGCTTTACATAGGATAAAAACTCTTGGTTTCTACTAAACTTGGCTTCCAAGTGCAATTCTCGTTTCCTCTTACTGGAAATTCTTATACCTTGGGTCACCCAATTCAGAGTAGATTTATTAGTTTTAGCATTCTTTTTTAGTGATTTAACAGGAAATATATGATTGAAAGATAATAAAAAATTTCTCAAAAAACTATTGTAATTTTCATTGGGGTTTAAACAAAATTTAGTAAACAAAATTAAACTATAACAAACAACAAACTGTTTTTGACACAACGTTAAGTTTTCTTCAATGAATATTGTGGGATTTAATTTTTGCTTAGTCTGTTTGGTTGTAAATGTTACAAAATTAGATTTTTGTGAATTCAGCAGAAGGTTTTTACTATCAAAAAAGTCTTTAATCATTGATAAGTTAATATGAGATGCAATTTCTAGGTTTTCTTTACTATTGGCAGTTACAATCATGTTAGTGTCATCGGCATAGAGACATTGTTCTTGTCCCATATCACCCCTGGTAGACCCTTCAGGTAACAGAGGAATAACAAGGGACCTAGAATTGATCCCTGGGGGACTCCATATTGTATGTTTAGCAAGCTCGATCTATATGTCTCCTTATATATAGGTTTTGAATTATTAAAATAATGACTTATTTCTACAAACTGTTTCCTATCTGAAATGTAAGATTTAAACCATGCCAATTCTGTACCCTTAACTCCAAGAGAGCTTAGTGTATTTATGAGAGTACTGTGGTCTACAGTGTCAAAGGCTCTAGACAGGTCCAAAAAGATACCAATGACTTTTTCACCTTTATCAATCGAATTTATGATTGACTCAACAAATTCCACACCTGCTGTTATGGTGGACTTCTTTCGTCAGAAACCATGCTGCTGCTCATCTAAGAGGCAATTTATTTCAAGGTGATCTAAAAGTTGGTTGTACACAATCTTCTCTAAAATTTTTGAAAATACAAATTAGACTAATTAATTAGTCGTTAGACTAATTAACGAATGAGTCTAATTATCAGGGTAATAAAAATTGACAACATGTGTGGTAAATTAAATGTAAAATTTGTAACCTCCTTGATATAAGCATTCTGATAGACCGATGGAAAATAAGGTTTTTTTTATTTGATTTCAAAACTATTTACAAACACTAATATTGAGATATAATGATGTGGTGATGTAACACTTTCATCAAACCACGACTGAAATACTTAACACACCCCTTTATGGACATGACATAACCCATAATTTAATGTTTTATTTTTTTATTTAATATTTTTTTCATAATAATTACAAAAATTATTTAATAAAAATATTTATATATTTATTTATATTTATATTTATTTATATATTGAAATATTTAATAAATTATTTATTTACCACTCTTTTTATCTGTTTGTGATTAATCTGTTTGATCATTATATCGGTGGTCCAAAAATAACTCTAGGGGGAGGGGGAGGGCGTTTGATTATGTTGTATGGTGGTCTAAAAATAACTCATTAGAGGGGGGCCCAAAAAATAAGTTTGCAGGGGGGCCCGTAAAAATTTGTTACGCCACTGGCGGCATGATTATAGATTGGTTTTCTTTTGTCTTCATGTACCACATCAAAAGGATGGCCTGTCATTCGAAGTCTTAAAGAGTTTGAAGTCTGGCCAATGTATTCTTTTTGACAATGTGTACACGAGAGTTGATAAATCACATTGTAAATATTTTGAAATTTTTAAAATTAAAATTAAATTTTTGTTATTAAAATTTTGAAGGCTGCTATACCCTTAAAGCCCTTCACAAAGTAAACCCAAATCAAAACCCTAAATGCAACCAACTGGTCTTAAGAAATTCTGAATTGGCTCACCAGTGGGTACTGAAAACAAAGTTCCCCTCTGGTTTAAATTTAAGATAGGTAGTAAAAAAGTGATTCAACTCAGCTGAATTTTAATTTTCTTTTAGGCTGATTTTGTTATTTTCTTTGATCTGCACTCAATCATATGTTCTCAAAATTCAACTACTGTATTTGTAAACAGTTAATATTTGTTTGTTTTGTTCATTTTTACATATTTCATTAATTTCTCTTTGCTTGAAAACGTTTGTATTAAACAGAAATTTGCAATGTTTCATGTCCCATTTATCACAACGCTATCAAGAAATCCTCAAGAATAATATTGTATATATATATATATGTGTGTGTCCATTAGCATGATAACTCGAGCAAAAATGATCGGATTTTGATTAAATTTGTTACAAACGTATAAACCTACGTTTATTTGATTAGGCTACAAAATTAATGAAGTCAAATTTAGGCTACTTACATGTCATTGTTCTTATACTTGAATAAAGTCTTGCGGAGCCATGAAGATATTGTTTTTTCTATCTTCTTCGTAGACTCGTCATGCCATTTTTTTTTATTCCATCTGCAAGAGTTCACATTTCAAACAATTAAGCCTAACTTCATAAATTCAATATTTATTTGTTAAAAACAAGCATCACTGATAGCTCCACCATTTTGCCTATAATTATTGATATCCATTTAATTTAACACCAGAAAATTTTGTTAATTTGCACCTCGTGATTCGGTTAATGACATCATCAATAAATGACACTTGGCACATAACATTAAATGTGATTCACTGGAAGAGAGTACATTAACATGAAATGTAGGGAACATTAAAGATAAAATATTTAACAGGTTCGCTACCGAAATAGTACTAAATTTTTCATTTTATTAAATTTTTTTTATTTTAGACCTAAGTAGCATTGGGATGTTAAAAAATCTGTTTGAATTAAGTTTATTAAGACTACAACAAGTTAAAGCCTATGTGTATATAAAGTAACCAGCTTTGTAAATGGAATAACAGAACAGATCCATTGTAAAGTTATTTAAACAAAAAAAGTTTCATCAATTTGTAAAACAACTTTTTATTTTGTTGATTGTAAGGTAAATGTATGCAGAAAGCCAATTAATGGCAATAAAATATGCACAATTTGGAAACAAAATAGGTACCAAAATCTTTAGCAACGATATTTTATACAGCACTTACCAATCAGATATTTGCTGAAAAGAGTTTTGGAAAATGACTCTGTCCTCTTATTCAATCTTCTCTGTCCCTTCCAGGAGAATTGCTTTACAAGATCTGGATGTATTGTAAATCTTAAAACACTGGTAGTTGCTCTGGAAGAGCTGTTTCCCGTACCAATTGAGATAAGACCTTTCATCTGGAAAAATCAAGGAGTTTTAGGGCGATGGAAATGTACCGAGCTAATTAAAACTTCTGGAAAATCAAAATCCGAGATAAAAGACTTTATAGCAACAAAATTAAATAGCCTATGATTTAGGATCATAAAACAAAAATAGTTTTTTTCACCACACTACAATTAATGTTCATAGCCGTTGTACAAGTGGTTATTGATGTCCAGGGTCGAAATGCCACCCTAGCATTGTATTTGAATTATCATCAATTAGGCACCGAGCAGGTTTTTACATCCCTATGGGCCGAAAATCGACTGGTTGCTTATTTACTTAAAACATTAAATACAGTGGACACAAGTAGTGTCCATATGCATTGCACTTGTTGCATTGTTGACTTGTTTTATTGTCAAGGTTGCCTAGGTAACTATTTATTGTTATTTTTGGTAATTCCTCAAAATATTTCACATCACCTTAAAGTTGTAGTTGTGTTACTTGTTTATAATTGATTTTCCTTTATAATATTAGGAATAAAATGACTACACACAGTGATTTATAAAGTCCATAGTGGAAGTGATGTTTATTTACAACAAATAATTAACTTAGCAAACACATGGCATAATTCACATATGACAGCTGCTTCTAACTTAGTACCAAGAAGGCAAGAAGGCAATGAGGGACAAGATTACAAATAAATTCCAACAGTGTTGACTATTAGTGTGAATTATTATTGTGGTGAATAGTGGTACTTACAACTGTACTAACAACTGATTCTTACCACATTCTTCTTGAAATTTTTATCTTTCAACTTTTCCTCAAATAATATAAAATCTTCCATAGATTTTAAGGGAAATGTCATATCAAAAATATCTACACTGTCTTCTTCCCTTCCCTCTTCTTCCGGGTCAGCAGTAGTAGCCCTAGGTTGTTCCGTCGCTGCAGGGTTTTCTGATACAGGAAGCCTCCTTATAATATCAGTGTGGCTATCCTGTATAGCTTTTTTTATGCTGGTAATGCTTTCTGAAACAATACACACACCTTTCAACATCTAAGTAGCTAAACAAATAAATACATAGAAGTCTATATTGAGGTGGTGTCTGTCTGGGCGGCTGTAACAACAAAAGCACTAATATTGGATATAATAACTAATATTAATAGTGGATAAATCACAGGCATATCCACTTCCCTGAGTTCCTCTCAGTTTTGAAGTGAGGTTTTCAAAAGTAAATATTAATTGGTCTCCATGAAAGCAAGAGAAAACTTACAATGTTTACATATGCGTTGACATTTTCAATGAAAAGAAGCATAACTTCCAAAATGATTATTTCACAATTACAGACAGGAGGTCCAAAGAAATGAAATATAATATTAAACACAAATATGTGGTGGTGTATTTATTCTAAAACTATGTCATTGATTACGAAAAAAATATCCTATAAACGTTGCTGTATTTATTTATTTATTCATTACATGTCATTACATCATTTGACAGGACATAAAGTCATATACAGGATAATACTAAAACTAAGAAATAACAAAAATGTCTTACTAAAAATTATTAATCTAACTTAATGTAACTATTTAAATAACATTTGATAGAAATAAAAATTTTTGTTTTTAACCAGGTCTTCAGAGTGGATCTGAACTGTGTATTACAATCAATATTTTTTATGCGGTGTGGTTAACTTATTGTAAACTTGAGGGCCTACATATTGGGGTAATAAATGAAATTTCTCTAATCTATGGGTTTCAGGCTTAATATAACTCTTAAATCTAGTGTGATGGGAATGAATGGGTTGGGTCATGAATGAGGACAGATTGTCTTTAACCCAATTTGAAATTTTTTAAATATAGTGATCATAAAATGTTAAAACTGAAAATGTTTGAAACAGACTTTTACAAGGAGTTCTACCAGGAACTCGCCCAATAATTCTAATTGCTTTTTGTTGAAGTTTGAATATTTTGTTGGAGTGGCATGAGTTTCCCCAAACCAGAATACCATATGTCATTATTGAAGAAAACTAAGCATGATAAACTATAAGCTGAGTCTTTTAAGTTAACAGCTTGTCTGATTGCGCGAAGAGAGAAAATACAGTCAAAATCGTTTGATCAAATTAACAACTTGTGATTTCCAGTTGAAGATTTTCATTGACAATTATACCTAAAAAAATTCACATTTTGCTGCAGTAGCATTTTAGATTTTGATGTTGTAATTTTATCTGTTTTATATTGATTATTATTAAAACTAAACTCTATAAGCTGTATCAACCCAGGCTCTGCATTCGATTTATTAAGTGTCTAATATATGAAAATAATGTTATTGATATATTTTCATGTTAACAGTTAGGACAATAACAATGTACGGTACACTTTTTGTATAAATTACGTGGCTTATGTTTATTTTCAAAATAAACTTATCACACACTTTTTAACAACATTTCTATATTTCGGCATTAGCCTTCTTCAGGAACAAACAAACAATAATAAATTAATGTGTTTACCACTCTGAATCAGATGGTTTTAGCAAAAATCCAAAATACATATAATTTATGAAGAAGTAATAAAGAAAATGTTTTGATAGAAAGACAGAAAAAAATATATTTATATAACAGTGGCTTATGTTTATAAATTTTAACTCTGAAACAAGTGTTTGGATTAGGCGGTATGGTTTATCTTCCTGTTGCGAAGTACGGGTACAGCAGCTTATATTTCCTAAAATATTTTTTTTCACAAACTACAAGTCTGTTGATATATGTATATAGTGAAATCCATGTTTAGTGGTATTACTCTTTGGTCTTTCTGGATTCTCTTTTAAGTGTATTTGATTTCCGATTCAGAATAAAAGATGTCGGCTCATTAACTGCAGCCTAAATGTATTTCTGTCAATGTTAATTACAATTTATAATAAACTAGTGGAACCCCGTCGAAATCGACGGTTAATCTTGAGGTTTTATGTAAATTCAGCTAACTGCGATGGATAGAGTGAAGTCATTAAAATCTTAGTTAAATGAAGGGAGGATAAACATAATAATAAGTATGACGATTGTGTTCCCTTAAAAACGTGATTGATGAATTCTTTTAACACAATATTTCCTACCTTTTTATCAGCTTTAGGTTGCCCTAAGGGGTTTTTAGGAGTCTTATAAGAGTTTGTTTCATGCCAAAGCCACTTTCACTATATGGGAGAATGAGTTCATATAATTAGTCCATCATGTTATGGAAAGAGTAAATTTTATTACTAACCACTAATTCCATCTGCTTTAGGAAAATCATTCAGATTGTATCCTAAATTATAAGTAATCTTCATCTTTGGTCATAAAAATACAGAATTCTATCAGCATATTAAATCAGTTTTTTTGTTTGATAAAAATATCTGATTCTCCAGAAAGCAGTAACATTCTTACTTCGATCTCAGCAATTTTAATTCTTTCTCTTGCCACATCGAACCATGTATTTAATCATCCTGTTCTTACTTGATAGGCTAATTCATTAACTTGTGGGGTAGTTTTCCCTTGGCCATATAGATCACATAAAGCTGTACATGTATTTCGTGGATTGGAATTAACCATAATTGTAGGAAATTTTATCACAAATCTTGAACAATTGCGGAACCAAATCCATAACCTAGTCCAGCCTTGGTAACAAATTATGCAAATGCGATGAGATGTGATGACACTGTTATGTTTCCGAATGTTTTGTATGTAGTGAGGTTTAGATGCGTTGTTAAACCTAGCTACATGTGTACATCAAAGTAAAAACTGTGTACACATTTTTTTAAATACCTGAATTGACATTAGTTCACCTACTTTACCAAAACCATAGACTCCGTAGTTAGTATATTCCAAAACTTGAACACAGCTCTCATCCTCAACGTACTTATCTATGACACAATTTTCAACCCGATTATCAAAAACTTGTATACCAATAAATGAATCTCAGGTGTTCTTTCTTGAATTTAAAAATAAATGGTGATTGAAAGTAGGAAAAAAAGGCAAGTGCCAACTTTACAATATATATATAAGCTAACCCGATAAGGAATAGTTATATGTTCCTTTGAAATTGATATGTCACACTTTAAAGTATAGATTTTTGAACAAAACATTTAAAACGTATCATAATTTCATCATTTTGTTGAAACTATAAAAAAAACTTGCCATGCAGTAGAGAATCCATTTAAAATCATAAATTATTATGTAAACATTTAATTTTGACAGTCTCAGTAGACTTTTGAATACAATTTTAATATGAACAGCTGGTTCATTAAAAGTAGTGTAAAATTATCCATATGGTCGAAATGTAAACAAAATTGCAGAGTGAACTTTAAAGGCCTCTGGGGCAGAGCCCCAACGAAATTTACCTCGTTTCTCTTTTGAGGGCTCACCTACTGACCAATACCTTTCTTTAGACACCCCTACCAAGTTTCTACGCCCAGCCGTTCTCTCAAATTAGCTGTGACAAAAACCTCGTTTTCCTCCATAAGAATAACATGGGATGGGAATTTAAAGGCCACTGGGGCAGAGCCCCAAGGGAATTCTCCATGTTTCTCCTTTGATGGATCATCTACAGACCGGGACCTTTCTTTTGACACCTCTACCGAGTTTCTACGCTCAGCCGTTCTCTCAAAATAGCTTTCACAAAGAAAATCAGTTTCAAATTAATATATAGATAGTATTGAAACTTAAATTGTGTTTTTTATTTAAAATGTGAAATATGGTGTCTTATAAGTGGGATACAAATAAATTTAAGTGCGTGAGTAAGAAATTAACATAAAAATGTGTTAAAACAATGAGAGAGTCAGAAGATGAAAAGGTGCTTCAACAAAGGACTGTGTCAGGAAAAACTGAAAATTTCACAATGGTTCCATGCAATCTTCAGAATTTTAATTTCGAGGGCAATTTAGCCGAAAATTGGAAGCACTGTTATCAGAAATTTGAGATTTATCTCTTGGCTTCTAACCTAAATTCTGAAAATGACGCTAGGAAGGTTGCTCTACTAACTGCATAATTTGGGTGACAAATGCATAGACATTTTCAATTCATTCAACCTCTCATCTGCAGATGCAAAAAACTACGACGTGGTGGTAAGTAAATTTGAAAACCATTTCTCGCCTAAGAAAAAACTCACGGTTCTGAGACATGAATTTCTAAATAGGAAACAGCTGCCATCTGAATCCATCGATAGTTTCTATACAGACTTAGTTAACTTGAGCCTCGCTTGTGAATTTGACTCTGTCCGCGAAAGTCTTGTTTGTGATGTCTTAATATCAGGGCTTAACTCCCAAAACCAGAATGTCAGGGAACGATTACTGAGAGAGCCGGAGATTAACTTGGAGAAGACTTTAGCAATCTGTAAAGCTGCTGAACTGTCTAAACAACACATCAGAGAACTAGAAGCAGAACATAATGTCCATACAGTTAACGTCCATAAGCAACAAGAGAGGGGTTACCTACAACCACAAACGTTCAGACAGAAAAAGGTTTATCAGGACCAAAGGAACAAATTTCATCCACCATAACAGCAGAAATCAACTGGGACAGGTAGGCCTAACAAGAGTACAAGTGCTAAGAAGTTTATTTCGAACTGCCGTGATTGTGGGAAAAATCACGGTATTAACAAATGCTCTGCGTATGGCTTAGTGTGCTACAAGTGCGGTAAAAACAATCACTTTGACAGTGTATGCAAATCAGCCAAAAAGGTTTGTGAAGTAGGCCTAAGTTTAGATTCTAATTCAAGAGATGTAGTTATAAGACAAGGTAGGCAAGACCGTTCTTCTAAAAGTACTTGTGCACAAGAATATTTTTCAATTGATACTGTATCGCTCACGTCTGAATCTGCATCTAATTACGTGATTGACAAAAACTTTTTATTCAGTAATATATTAGAATTCATTCCTACTACTGGAACGTCAGTTATTAATAAATAATATAACGTTACCTTCTAACGTTCCAAAATGGTGTAGTCTTACGACGCGTTTTGTCAACACAGTGACATCTTCAGGTGATCCGCTATCGCTTCGTCTT